AGTACAGTAAGAAAGCTCTTTAAAATATTGCTTTCAAGAATGGATCCCTCTTGGTTTGCCAGGTTCTGAGCAAGTCTAAAAGTGGCAAATATTTGTTTTGGACTGTCTTTTTGAAGCTCTCAGTGCTGAAAATGTCCTACAAGCTCTACTATTTCTTGTTTCAGCTAAGACAGAAATAAAACTTTCAGAATGAAATAGCTTAATTTCTAAAATGGCTTCTACAAAGAAGGAATATATGGCTATCTGAGGAAGGCCTCTATTTGTAACGTTAGCCTTGATAGGATTTAGGAATTGTAATTTCTTCTCCTTCGCTATGTAAACACATATATGCATGGCTTCTTGTCAATGACTTTTTTGAAATCTTGAACTAATTTTCTTTGTTGATAGACTTCTGAGTCAAAAAGCTAGTAGAATTTAGTCACTGCATATCACCATGTTCAGAAGACCCTCTACAAGAAATTGCATATTATCCTTACAGTTTATGTGACTCAGAGCGGTAGAGAAACTCACAAAGTGTTTAAGTCTCTTTCACAGAAGAACATTTTCATATAATATCCGTTCGGCCTCAAAACCTTACTCTAGAAAATAGCTGTATACTTGTAAATGTCATTTGCCCACAAGCTGACCATCAATTATGTCTCTGATCAAAGATAATATACTGCATATACACTCCCTGAGCAGCAAGCTAGACTTTGTGGTTTCTCAGAAGATTGAAAGAGAGACAAGAGAGTATGTGTGGAGAAAGAAAATTCTTTTTTTTTTTTTTTTTTTTACTTTTTGTTCTAGCAGAGCAGAGTAGTAAATTCTCTCATCTGTGAATGAATTGATTGCTCCCACTGATAAAATATCACTTGGACAAGTATACCCAGGTATGCTTTCACACTTTATATGAGAAAGGGCTGCTGTTACTTCCCTCTCATGTTTTCTCTGCATCTCATATATAGTCCTTGCTCAGCTCCCTCAGCTTCCTCCCTGCTCTGCAAACTGCAGCACTAAGCCACAGCTTCTGCTCCCCTACATGCAGCTTCTTTGCTGCCAGTTGCAGTTTCAGCCATTTAGCCCTTGCGATGGTGAAGATGCTTTCACTAATACAATGATAGCACTCATGCTACTGAGGGCACTGGCTCCCTCTTACAGTCCTGTACCACATTTACGTTGATAACCATATCCCTTTCCAGTCCAAGGACAAGAGACAAACCAACAGCAAAAGCAGCAGTATAACCCCAAAGTAATTCTGTCCTCAACTTTGGGGAAGAAAAGCTGTTTGTCTACCTTGCAGAGAAGCTCTGAGACCAAATACCCCCACTTTGAACACCCTAGTATCTAACCTCCTGCCTGAACTTGATACTGCTGCTGGGACCTTAGCAGGTTTGAGCTTAGCTTATATCCTTGACAGTTGTCTTTGAGTAGATTGCTTACTGCTGTTTGTGTTAACATCTTTGGTTTTGGCATTCTGCCCTTCCACACAGCTACAACTCTGAAAGAGCTCATCAAATGTCATTTTCCTCACCTAAGCTTTACATATTTTTAAAAGCAGAGAAACCTCCACTACTGCTTCCTTTCTCAGCTTGTTTTGTTCACAGTTGTGGTCATGCTTGCAAGCAGCACTGTAACAGAAAGCTGATGTTACCTGCTAGTCTGCTCGTCTTCAACCTCTCTCCCTCTCTCCGAGTATAGTCCTATGGTACTAAACACACTTTTTTTTTTTTTTTTCCCCAAAGATGAATATTTCAATTCCATGAAGCAAAGATAACCTCACAAACCCCTTGTGGTGGGATGCAATGTCATTTTTGTAGGAGGGGATGCTGCCCTTCAAATAGTAACCAGCTCCTCAAACATGGGGATGGGTAAGTAGCTGGGCAACTCCAGCCACCCCACACAGGAGAAGAACCCATGATGCATCACAGGCCTAAGCACAGATCATTTAGCACCCAAATATGAACACTGCATTCCAAGAACTGCAGCCTTACGATTCATGGTCATCAAATGACCTTTAGCAGCACTCTGTTAAATGCTATTATACACACAGGAGACTCAGCATGTAGGAGAGACTGTAAGAATAAGACCCACAGATGTCCTCAAGAATTCAGCTGACAGGACTTTGATTTAAAACAGTCACTGTAGTTCTTAGCTCAGTGCCAAATTTGCTGGAACATCTTATCTGGCCTGATCTACATCCATCTCTGAACTGGAGTCACTTCCTTATAGCAGTCCTGGCTGCATGACTGCATGTTGGTTGCCACACAGGCTGGGTGCCAGGCAGAGGAGCCCATGTTGTTATGGTGCCCCACAACCTTATCCCCTGTGAACGGCAGCTTTGCGAGGTCTCTGTGAACTGCCACCTCAACACCCCGATTTCTCATGGCTACTTAAAAAGCATGGGGCGAAACCTCCGGTGGTTGCTCTGGGTTTGATACAATCCCGTTGGCAGATACCACTGAGAGGTCCTAAGCAAATGGCAGAGAGCTCCTGAGGTGAAGACCGTAGAACCGAGGCTGAGAAGGCCAGGGGCCTGGGCCTGCAGCACCATGCTGGCTCCAGGCAGTAGGCCAGCCTGGGGGCTGCTAGGTACCATGGCAACAAGGCCTGCTGCAAGGCTGGGGATGGGGCAGCACCTGCACAGGCTCCATGGACCCTGCTAGGCCTGCGCTCACTTGGGCCATGGCAGAGGGACATGGGTCCCTGCTAGGGCTGTGCACCCCTGAGTCATGGCAAAGGGATATAGGACTCCACGGGATGATGCACTGAGGGGGGACACAGGACCTCCTGACGTACAACTACCTGAAAGGAGGTTGTAGCGAGGTGGGGCTGATCATTTCTCCCAACTATCTATCACTAGGACAAGAGGCAATGGCCTCAAGTTACACCAAGGGAGGTTCAGGTTAGATATTAGGAAAACAGTCTACAAGGAAAGAGTAGTCAAACACTGGAACACACTGCCCATGGAAGCAGTGGAGTCACTATTCCTGACACTGTTCAAGAAATGCGTAGATGAGGTGGTGCTTAGGGACATAGTTTAACAGATATTGGTGTTGTGGGGTTTATAGTTGGACTCGATCTTGAAGGTCTATTCCAATCATAATGAGTCCGTGATTCTTGCCTGGGCCATGAGGAAGGGACATGGGACCCTCCTGGGGCCATACCCACCTGCTTGCAGCTACTTTTGGCTTGCAAAATTACCACGAGTGTAAACTGGTGACTAGGTGAATATTTGTAGGAAATGCATTCCCAAAACTCCACCTTAGTCACCTCTTTCCTTCCGACTGTATGTTGGCTGTGAAAACCGCTCCGTCACATTGCTGTGGTGAGCAGGGGTGCTGCCTGCAGCTGCACGGGGGATTATAGGTGCTTTGCCCATTACACAGGACATCAAGGCAAGCTACAAACTTCCCAGTACTTTATTGACTGCATACAGCAAGCAAAGTGAGCAAAAACCATCCCTGAGGAGGGAGCCAGCACAATCTCTTGTCCCCAGAGCTGGCTGATGTTACACAGGCAGTTGTGATGAGGTGCCATCTCCCAATTTTAGATCTAGCAGAACCCAGCAACTCCACGTTCTAGTGACTTTGTACATACCACGTTGAAAGGATGCACCAGCCTGTACAGCACTGCCCATTTCTTATCTGTTGCCCTTTCACATTTTTCTCTCTTAAAGGATTTTTTTTTGTAGTTACAATGAGACGGTTTAATAAATTATCATCAGAGATTAATTTAAAAATGAAAAAGGATTATGTAAATAAAGAGAAAAATGGATATAAAATTATATTGCCTATTGAGGAAGACTTGCTCAGGAGCAAGTTACAAGGCATTTGCAAGAAGCTTTTGAATCACAAAACTCGGCGGAGCTGTCTGCACAGACTGCCTCTTGTGTGGCTGGATGAAGCACAGCTCTACACGCTCACAAGCTGCAAACCAGCCATGCTGCCTCTAAAAACTGAACAAAACTTAACAAACATCAACAAAGACAAGTCCTTGGCCCCGTCCCAGAAACCACAAACTACCAGTTGGTCCTGTAGTAGGGCCTCACAACAAGCTGATTTTAGACTTATCTGGGACTACAAGATTGTAAACTATTGGCTTCCCATAGCTAACCCATCTCTGGAAACCCATCCACTCCTGGAGGAAGCTTTTCCTTTAGCTAAAGGAGAGTGAAACTCTTTCTAGCAAACTCTTCTAAGCCATTACCAAATAAAAAGTAGGGCTTTTTGTTTGTTTATTTGTTTGTTTTTTGCATTCTGCCGTGTAAATTTAAGACACCTTGAATTTGAGACAACACCAGTATGTTACAAATATTTCCGCTTTTCCACAAAGCCGTCTTGTCTCAAGTGCCCACATCTAATTGCTTTGCAGATCAACCAGGTCAAGACTTACAACAGCCATGCCAAGTTCTCTGGCAAGAGCAGTCATCTTAAATATTTTTGTGGCACTCTTACAAATTATAAATAGTTAAATATGCATATATCCAGTACTTCATCTGTAATATTGAACTGTCACAAATTAAAATTAATTAGGAACTAGAACTCTGTCTAAATTCGTTTCTGAAGAGATGTCTTTGCTTTACTACTGGAGTAGTTTTAACTGTCTAATCATTTTGAGAGATTAATGTGGATTCTGGAAAGAACTATAATCAATTCACATGGAGATCCACAGCATATTATTAAACGTATTATTAAATCATGGTCTTCCTGAACACTTCCCAAAGCTCTTCACCAGGCATCTCCATCAATCCCACCTTTCCTGAAAAGCTTATTTATTAGAGAAACAAGTTCATATACTGCATGTAGCCAAATTTACAGTTCAACAGTACTGTGTTCTGCACTTCACTGAAAACACACCTGCAAGGTACCAGCTTTCTGTACATTTCCTGTACATACAAAAAGAAACAAACTATATTTCACAAGTGATCGAAAGAAGAGGAAACAGAGCTTTATCAGTGAAACGGATACTTTTTACAAACAAAAGTGATGAGAGCATTTTCAATTCAACTACTGCATCAAATTGCTAAGAGGTCTGGAAAGGAACTGTTGATCCATGTACGGTTCCAGCTAGCGGGTGGTTAATTGCTACCGCTGTAAGTGTTAGTTCTGACCAAAGTGCTTCGTCTAGAACTATATGACATATCTTCATATACCACATTTGGTTTTCTTTTCTGGAAACATTTCTTTATCTGCAAAACAAAGCAACCAGCAATTCAGAACTGTGCTCGAAAACACCCTTACCAAGAAGCTGATTTACATTTTAGGATTCCCAACGCAGGAGGTAGAAATATACTTTTAAAATTCCCAGTGAGGTCTTAGACCTGGTCACTGAAGCTTGTACCTGTCAATTATATATTCCTTTATGGTACAATAGAAGTTCATTGAAGGGTTGGAAGTATCTGTAGCCCCAACATAAATAATGCTTAATCTTAAACTGTTACTGTTATCGGTTACTGATAAATATAAGGGACCAAGTCCCACGAGGACCTTTGGCTTTGCAGAATAATGTTATACCACTGCTTTTTAGCAGTATTGAAACAACAGTGTAGGGATAGCATAGAAGCCTCAACAATCACGTACTATGTTGTGAATCAGTGATTTTTTATAAAAAATTAGGATCTATCAGAGACAAGTAATTCTGGGCACTTTCTGGGGAAAATGGATGCAAGAAATTCAGTAATGGAAAAAAATATCTTGGTCACTTTCTCAAGTATTCCTAGTGCTACCGTCAGACAGAAAGCTGTTTCAGGACTTTGTGTTGTCTCTGAATTTCCTGAAAAGCTTTCTCTCACATCTATTACAAGATGGCTATAAACAGCTCCTTCTTGATTGAAAATATGAATCTTAACAGAGTGGCAAATTGCCTTTTTAGGGAAATGTATACAGGGAGAGGAACTGGATGAGCTTCTGGCGACAAAGCTTACTTGAAGTCTGAAAGACAAACAATATGTCATCATTTACTAGAAGTTACAGAAGCATAAATTCTTGGAGGTAATAACTGTGTCCTTGTGTATGACACATATGGCTAAGGAGACGCAATACAAAGTCATGATTCCTTAGATTTTTCATGTGTTGAGTTAATCATTATTTACAAATATGACCTTTTGGCTGTTACTGAAGGTGCTCCTATTTATTGAACAGAGATCGTATTTGCTTTGGCCTGAAGACTGCATACTTACATTGAAACGGTAGAGGACGAAGCATATCAGCGCAGAAAGCAGCATCACCACCACAGCAGTGAGACCACAGAAGATCCAGGAACTATGGCGGCACCCTCTCTGCTCCACTTCTGCATGTGGAATTATATAATCATTATTATAAACATGAAGAAATGCAAAATTATATATTTCTATTTCATATATATATTATGAAAAAAATAATGTCTGCAGTGGGCTCTAGTCATCAGGAAATTAGATCCCAGCAGCATGCTACACATGGACGTTTGTCATCCCATCAATATTCTCATTGGCCTTTGGGAGGCAGGAGGTGAGTGTGAATGAGGAGGTTGTGCTGCATCAGTGGGATTGCTGGTTTTGTCCTCATATTAGCAAACGGTTACAACACTATCTTATAGAAAGGAAAAACAACAACGAAACCCCTCTGTCTCTGGAAAATATACCAGGACGCTTCCTGCATGTGAGATGTATATGAAATCATCTGTGCTCCAATCTCTGGTACTTCAGATACCTGAGGATGCTCCCTAATGGGATCTTTATCAAACATAAACAAAGCATTGCTGCTGTTAATGGTTTCTAGAAGGGTATCTGGAAGACATTTATGTCACTTTATGGTCACAGATCTGATGCCAAAAGTATTGATTCATTTCCTGAAACAGATTATTCACAGACACACTACAGTGTTTGTTGTTTACGTTTTTTTAACACGCTGGAGGACAGAAATTAATATTTTTCTCCTCCAGTAGTACAAGACCCATAAAAATGTATGGTCTCACTATGTGTCCCAATACAACAGAGCACAAAGGAGCCCGAGCTCTCTCTCCAGACTTTCTCAAGTATTAGAACAAGTCTAGCCATGGATTAGTGCTCTACCCGGTCAGGTTAAAATTCTGCAAGCTTTCTGTCCACCTTTTCATTTATAGCGGGCCTACAGTTACCTTTGCTTATACAAGTAAAGGTACAGTACCTTTAACGAGCACCATGGTGCCACTTCCATTCAGTGAGAGGGCAATGGAATTTTTCACCACTCCTACACACACATATATGTCACTGTCATTTTTTTGCAGGTTGTGCAGAGTTACCACTAATGTCTCCTCTTCCTTCGAGTACTCTAAGCGATTTGCAAAGGTGGTAGAGATTGTTGAAGCATTCTGCCTTGAAACATATAACACTCTTTCAGGTTTCATGTGAGTCTTGAGCAAGAAGATCCCGTCTTCTTCATGGGAGCTCTTCAGTGAACAGTTAATGGTGATGGACTCGCCTTGCTCAACACTGAGTGAAGGTGGTGACTGTTCAACAACTCCATTATCTTTAGCTAAAATCAAGAGAGATTAATGGTTACCAGATACGTAACAGTGCATTTGAACAAGGGAATGCATACATCAGTTCCCATGTATCAGTCCATCGAAATTCAGATAGAGTGGGTCAGTACAAGTCTGAGGATATTTCTCTGGGTGTATTTAAAGAGGCTGAAGCAACCCAAGGGGCATCAACAATTACTTTCCAAAGCAAAGGAACAGGGCAGGGAAACCTGGAGAAGTACATGCAACTTGACTAAGTAGAATAAGGGAAGTTTAGGGCATTCGGACAAATGTAAGTCCTTGCAAAGTGTTCAGAGCAACTGAACACATTGATTATTAACTGTGGTTAAAGAATAGACGAAGTGGGTACAGCAACAACATGTCCTATCCAAGTGATTTTGCCGCTTTCCCTGGGAGCCTGAAGGGGTGATTTGAGAAGGATACACAATCCAAATCATTTTCACTGATGTGCAATAGCTGCATTGCATTTTATCATGTGCAAAACAGGAAAATATCTGGTAGAGGAGGGGCTTTCGACTCATGAGATGGTAGTTCATTGCTGCAGGGGCTACAGGGTGCAAACAGAGAGCGATAGTTGCGTTTGAAGCACCGTAGCCAGGCCAAAGCAGGAGGAGCTGAAGGAAGACCAGGGACAGGGCTGCAGGCTGCATGACTTGCTATGCATCCAGGTAGCAAGACATTTCACTAAGTTCCTCTGAGGCCATGCCCTGTTTTCTTTGACATTAGCACCGACACATGGTTGAGGGAACATAGATGGGATTTATCACTTTTTTAAAAAAACATAATTCTGGGACGTTTGCAAGCCTTTCATATAAGAGTATTAGGTTCAAAGATAGATAGATGATAATTTAAAAAATAATATGGAGAAATATTCTGAAATGAACAAGATGAAAATCAGTAAAAATGTCTATGAAATCCTAGCTTCAAAGAAAAAGAAACACATGACCAAATAACATAGAAGAGATTTTAAAAAACCTAAAGAAACAGGGAAAAAACAAATTTGGAGTCTGCAAGACAATGTTTGCTGAATCTACTGAATCTTAACTCAGTGAGGCACAACAGGAGAACCTCATTTTGTGCTGTACAGCAGGAACAGCAGGAGAGAGTTCTCTGCAGCGTGAGAAAGGATGCTTCTAACCATGGCAAACTATCTTCAGGATGATTGAATCCCATTTGGCTAACACATTTTCAGAAAATATAGGCAAACTGGAACAAATTCACAGAAGGGCAAGAAGAACGATAAGAGTCTGAGAAAGCAGAGTCAAAAAGTTCGAGAAAGAGAAGCCCAAGGGAGGAAATGGTCACAGCCTTCTTAGATGTAGAAGATCATAATACAGCAGTGAATTAGTTTGTGCATGTCTTTGGGAGAGGAAAGGAAAGAAATGCAGTCATTTAAAGAAAAAAAAATACAGAAAAATTCTTCTCCTTTGCCCATTCTTCAACTGTTTGTTTAAAAGAAAAAAAAATACTCAACACTGTTAAACATTAAGCTAAACACTGAACTGCTAAAACAATCAGATAAAATCACCTGCATCCACTGATGCCTAATTCACAAATACTGCATAAGCAGTTAGCTTCCCAAGTCCTATCAATCTGTCATTCAAGAATGAATAGTAAAAACAAGAGAGATTTACCAAACTTGACACTGTTGCTCACAGGCAGATTGCTTTGATTGTTATTTCAAAAAATGTTCTCCTTGTTGTGAAAGCATGTATCTGCAGGTTCTCACAGGTTGCTGACTGTTACCAAAACCTATAGCTCTTGTGAAATCCATAGCTAGAATCATATTAGTCATGTATTCTAAGGGTTTTCTTGGTACGCTTCCAATTAAATTGGTTTCTTCATCTATCAGGGAACAAGTCCACACTTTATTTCAAATTAATACCTCATCGGAACAGGCATATGCAACATTCTGCATAGACTCTCTCTCCTACCATGTTTTTACCCATTTTTGCTTTAAACTATATACTTGTATTTATTCATTCATGATATAAAAAGTGGAACTTCAGTACCTCTCACCACTACCACGGTTCTCTTCCCATCCAACATTATGTAATTGCTTTCTTTAATTATATTGGTGCAAAGGTAGATATTGGCATCGCTTTCCAGTACATTTTTAAAAGTTATTCTCAATTTTGTTCCTTCATTTGAAAAGTAGATACGATCAGCTAAAGCAGGAAGGATAAATGAAGTATTGTGCTTGGAAAGATATACCACATTGGTTTTCTGAATACTAGTCCTCAAATACGTCCCTTCTTCACTTTCTGATTTTTTCATAGAGCAAGTTATGCTGATAGAATCTCCTTCCCAAGCACTGATAAAGTCTGGTGAATGTTCAAGGAGTTCATTTTCTTCACCTAAAAATAAAAAATCAAGTATCAGAGATTTTCTTGATCTATGAATATCAAAGTAGCTTGCAAAAACAACTACTTCTCAGTCAGGAGAACAGCCCTGTAAGCCTGGAACTTTGTCTTGCTATCCTATATATATATGGTTTCCTGGCTATCCTGACTGCTGTGGTGTTTTTGCTCTTATATGCACTGACCTGTGCAACTCAGCATCTCCTTAGAGCTTAGAAAGACCGTGAAAAATAAAGAAAAAGAGGTTTCTAGCACTCAAGTAAAACATTTAGCCTGCTCTGTAATTTCACAATATGATCCTACAAGCTTTCTAAATAAAATCTTTATTGAACTGAGTCCGGTAATGGGAACTACATGAGAGTCTCAATCTACAGCTCAAAGTGATCACCAGTGACAGAAAAAAAAGAAGAAAAATAGAGATTTGTGGGGGAAAAAAAAAAAGGTTTCTTTCCAGAAAATGTATTCTGTTAGGGAGTGAGTTGCCAAGGTATAAACATTCGTCCCATATTAAAGCACAACGGTGTACAAACATATAATGAGAAAATATTATGGAAAGAGGTTGAATAATTCAGCATTCACAAAGCAGATTGATGATTCCCACATCCTTACTTACTAGGTTATTTTAACAGGGGAATGCCAAGGTCAGACACAGAAAGACAGGTCAGACAAGGTCAGACACACATTCCCATGACTGTTAAGTCATGGGAATTGACAAACAGTAGATCAGGTCAACTTGAGCAGCTATGAAGATGCTCCTCCTGTATCATTAGAGAAGGATCTAAAGTGACCAGAGTGGTCAGCAATTGCCTTCAAAGGGAGAAGAGGAGAAGGAGAAGGAGAAGGAGAAGGAGAAGGAGAAGGAGAAGGAGAAGGAGAAGGAGAAGGAGAAGGAGAAGGAGAAGGAGAAGGAGAAGGAGNGAAGGAGAAGGAGAAGGAGAAGGAGAAGGAGAAGGAGAAGGAGAAGGAGAAGGAGAAGGAGAAGGAGAAGGAGAAGGAGAAGGAGAAGGAGAAGGCTGGGGAAGCACAGCATCCTCCACCTTAAGAAGCAACCAAGGAAAATCCAGGGAATTCAGCCCCAACAGCCTCAAATTGCTTCCAGGTTGACCCACATTTCACTGATGTAGGTGAGAACCCAACTAGATCACAGCAAAAAAAAAAAAAAAGGTAAATTTTCAAGAGTGAGGTTATAGTTGCAGAAATCAATAATGATTCCTGTGCAACTGCTAACTGAAGAATGGCAAAAATATTAGCCACAAATATTGCCAGTGGCTTTCGCAGCATCTACTTCTTAGGCGTTTTGATTTGCAGATAGTGTTTGTTGAAATTTCAAGTCATTGTCTTCTTCAGGAGTCAACAGGGGCAGAAAAAAGGGTAACTGTTTAAAGATATGTTTTTCCTTAAGGCTGTTCTCCTCAGAGAACCGCATTGTTTTCCCCAAGCAAGTCCCCAGCTTGTCCTCTATCAATAACTATAACATACAGATATTTATAGTAAGGTTTTATTATATTTTCAATGATCATGTCCTTTGTAAATACCAATACTCTGTTTTTTCCAGTAGTGGGTTCCCCATATCAGCCTTAACAACATAAACATGATTCCTGTAGAATTGCTAGGAGAACAACTCTTACTATTTCTACATGGAATCATTTCCAAGCATGTAGGAATGCTTCTGAGCACAAAAAACATCCACAATCTAGCATTTCCAAGTGTGTTTTTCACAGCTCTATCCTTTTTTTTTCTAGCAGTAATTGACTTTGTGAGACAATAAATTAAAAAAAAAAAAAAAAAGAAAAAAAAGCCACCTGTGAAAGAGGATAGTACTGTACCTACCGTGGAGGCCTGGGCAGCACAGGAGAAGAAGGAGAGCTGGAGCTAGTAGAGATGATATCCACAGCATTTCCAAAGATCTTTTTAGTTCTTCTCTGCTACCTCCTTGTTGGATTAAATACCTGAAAAAGGGCATCAGGGCCAAGAGGCGGCCCGGTTTCTTCGAGCTACAAGATCTGCTCTGCTGAAACACATGAGCTTCTCCTCAGCAACTCGCTTCTCTTCTTACTGCCGCAGCGGATGTGAGCGAGGGGAAAGCGCAGTCTCTCTTGAGGTATATTTTGTCTTTGACTTCACACTTCAAACCCTGACAGTTTCAAATCTGGTCAGCTGAGGAAAGGTAGATGCAAAGCTGCACCTCCCAGTGTCCAAGGCAGCTAACAACTTCTGTGGGACACCTTCAAGAACCCAGAAACTGAGTTGTCTCCATTGCATGCACAGTAATTCCTAAATTCTGGGTTTTGGGGTGGCAGGAGAGGGAATCTCTTGCTTCAGACAAATCTTAAATTCAGTTTTAAGTTCAGAAAATTGCATTTTGGCACTGAAAACCTACATTATTTTCCAAGCAACAGGCTAGGATGTATCCTTCAGCATGCCCAGCATCTCCACACCCAACAGCTTTATCTGTAGGGCCTGCAGTAACACAAGAGCTACCAGCAAAAGGGAATCTTAGATGGGGTTCACAGCTCAGTCTCTCGACAAAATGAACAGCTCTTCCTTCAGCAACTCAGGGGGTGAATGTAGGAAAAAGGAGGAAAAAGTGCGTGTTCCCAAAGAATTTCTTGCTTGCTTGAAAGCTTACACAAAAAAGATTGAAGAGAGTCCTTAATTCAGCCAGCTTGTGAAATTAACCTTGAGCTAGACCTGCAAAGTCTCACTATTAAATACAAAAGGCAATGCTAGGAGACATTTTTAATCATGTTCTTTGGTTTTTTCAATAATTAACAAATGAATGGTGACACTAATCCTGGATTTGTGAGTTTTGGAATCACATGATGGTGATGCCTTGCTGAGGTGGGAGCTATGGTACTACAGAGCAACAACAACAGAACAGTGAAGTAAAATAACTATCATTTGTCATTTGATGAATGTCTTTATTTCCTAAGTAAATAATTGACTGCATGTGTTTATTCATAAGTCATTTAAAACAATGCAATTTGACTGCTAGGTACAAATAATGTAGATCTTTAAAACTATTTATGACTTTTTTTTTCCCTGAGATGTGGGATGAATGGTTTTCCCTGAGATGTGGGATGAAAAAAAATCTACAGGTATCTACAGCACAAAAAAAAAAAAAAAAAAAAAAAAAAAAAAAAAAAAAAAAGCACGCTGGAGGAAGGGCACTATTACAAAACAAATCTCAACAGAAATTCTCTTTGTACCTACCTATATCTCTATCTCTACCTTTCAAACCACTGGGGTAAAATACTTGCGGTAAAAGACAGACCCATTCCTGACTTGTGTGCTCCTTTCCCAGGCTATTGCCATAGCCATGCTAGTTCCTCAGGACAGAGGCTCCTGGCACAAACCAGCCTCTTCATCACCCCTTTTTCGAGCACAGTCCTACTCTGCAGAGACTTAACAGCTATCCCCCTCAAAAAAAATCCTTTTTTTTGAAGAAAAAAGGAAACTACAGTTGGGCTAAGGAGCTGTACAAGGACATAAAAGCTCTTTTCTTCTGCCTCACGATCCTTGCACTCTCAGCTTTGTCTTATTGAATAAACATATTAAAACACCATGACATAAGATTTCAGAACTGAGTTGCTCCAAATACTCAAGATTATCTTAAACCAGCAAGAGTGCAAAGCACTCATGGTAAAAAATAATGACAAATAGCAATCTTTAAGCATAGAGGATTTCTGTATTTTTAAAATTAATAAAAAATATGTTTTTGCCCATCTTTGATGATGGGCTTTTCAATTTACATTTAACTGTGACAAAGTTTAGGAGTGCCTCAATATCCCACACAAATCTTTGAGATTTCCTGCCCTACATTTCAGTCACAGTTTTATGGCTAGGTGAGTCATGCTGAAACAAGTTTGGCATCTCAATTTCATGGATCTGATTTTGCAAGTGCGGTGCTGCTCATTCTTACTCAAAATTCTGCTAGTTTATGAAGAACGAAAGCTTTTGAGGATTCCTTCAAATCAAATATGAATGAAATCCTCTGAAGATCACATACTGCCTCCAAACTACCATATCATAATCTCTGAACTGGATCTGTTAGCCAGAGTCTGCACATAGAATACCCAAACCTGTCTTCAGATGCAGCAATACTGTGTTCTTTCCTGACTCTGGAACAGCGAGCATGTCTATCAACCCGGCTACCTCTCTTATTTGCCTGCATTACTATTAAAAAGGAGCAGCATGAAGATTGCCAGCCTTATGATCTGCATTGCCACGAAGATTGACAACACACATTTGTCAAGCCCAGGAGGGCACAACGGCCTCCACAACCTCATGCCATTTTCTCAGGAGCTGGATATGATCCTCCTGTGTGCCACACACAGGACCAAGTGCAGAGCAGCTGCTGTTAGTAGCAAATTTACTCACAAGTCACAGCACTTTGCAAGAATTACACTCAGCCACCTGTACAAACTTTCTTCTTGTGGAAATTTAATATCATTTGGCAAGTAAAAGATTAAGACTATGTTAGTGTTATTGTGTTGTGATACAGGATCTGCACAAACCATCTCCCTCAGGGTTCAACACATCCTTCCTGCATAGAGATAGGTTGTTCTGAAGAATTGCAGATGAACTGATAATTTGAACCACAAAAATCTTTGAAAGGATTCAGATGATTTAAGACTTCTCTACTGAGCCTGCTGCACAGCTCACGGTGAGTGCAGTCTTCCATGAAGTCTCACATTGATCACGAGGGCCTGAAATCAACTGCAACAATCACAGTCCTCACTGAATGCATGGAAGCACTAGAAGTATATTTGCAAAAATTACAATGAGATTTTGAATACAATGAATGTCTGCATCTTTAGCAGAGGGCTGCAATTCATCAATGAAGACCATGCTCCTGGTATAAAGGTTTTTTTCCCCTCTTGTTTACAGATGGCTTTTAAACAGTGTTGCTGTTTTCCATTTCAGGAGCTGCTGCTCCACCTGCAGAACAGAAGGAAATAATCTCGTTATTGAAGAAATATCTTGCTACCCAAAGCACAGCCTGGGTTCAGTACAGGTTTGTGCCTAGGCTTGCAGATCTGGAGTGTGAAGTCCTCAGAACTGCAGTACTGTCCATGTGCTTCTGGACCAAGCTGAAAGACTAAAAGTCTACGCCCAGGAATTTCCCAGTGTCTCTGCTGAAACTCTACCCTGGTTTTCTGTGGCCTGCAAGTCTTAGAAGAGCTGCAGGACAGGTCTGAGAACATCACTGGGTGCTATATCTCAAGGCAAGACCACAGCAAAGTCACTGTAAATTTTTACCCCTTACACCAAAGCCCATGGCTATCCAAGCTGTCCAACCTGTTGCAACATAATATTATGTCTCAATAGTAGAACTACATTGAGAACTGAGACTATGGTTGTGTTTGTTTGCACCTTTTTTTTTGTTTTTGCAAGCATGCGTGCAAATCATTTTTCACAAATGACTGTTTCATTAACTGTGGATATTTCAAAGTCTCAGCACATAATCTTTGGCTTCCTTTATAGGAACCAGACAGAAACAAACACCTTCACAGCAGAATTCATCTATCCCACTTAAAACTGATTTTAAGACAAGACTAATCACCTTTGAGACAGCTGTTTTCCATTCAGCTGAAAGCAATGGGGGGGGGGACAAAAAAACCCTTAGACTATAACTTCTAACCAACTACTTAACCTACTTAAACTAACTCAGAAATTTAATTCTTAGACTCCCAAGTTTGCATGGGTAAACTGCATCCCAGAAAAACGCAAGCAACTCCCAGAGGAAGGGCCAGAAACAGCATTTGCTTCTGCTGAAAGACTGGGTAGATCAGTAACTGAGATTAAATATTTTGGCTCCTGGCATTACACAGGGTGCCAGAAAACCAAAAGCTGGCTGCAGGATATAGAGAAGGAAACTGCAGGTCCAGGTCTAAGGTTTTCTGAAGGAGTGATTAGTAGACGAGCATGAGAACAACTGTAGAGTCATTGAAAGGCATAGGACTAGAGCTAAGAGATGAAAATGTATTGACAAAGGCTTGCTGCAGTGAGAAAATGGACATCTACTACTAAACATGGTCTTAGTAAATGCTCTTAGTCATTCATTTAACAACCACATGCCACCATAGTAATGCAGTGTTATCATACACTATAACTAAATCAGATATTGAAATTTTCTCTCACCTATAAAAATCTGATTATGCACGATGGAGAGTCCTAGGGAATAGAATCACAGAATGCCTAAGGTTGGAAGGGACCTCAGAGGTCATCTAGTCCAACCCCCCTGCACACGCAGGGTCACCCAGAGCACATGGCACAGGGCTGCATCCAAGCGGGTTTTAAAGATCTCCAGAGGAGGAGACTCCACAACCTCCCTGGGCAGCCTGATCCAGGGCTCTGTCACCCTCACTGTAAAGAAGTGTTTCCTTAAGCTCCTGTGGAACTTTTGGTGCCTAAGCTTGTGGCCGTTTCCTCTAGACCTGTCACTGTCCACCACTGAAAAGAGGCCGCCCCCTCCTCCTCACTGCCTCCCTTGAGGTATTTATACACGCTGATCAGGTCCCCCCTCAGCCTCCTCTTCTCCAGGCTGAACAGGCCCAGCTCCCTCAGCCTTTGCTCATAGGGCAGATGTTCCAGGCCCCTGATCATCCTGGTAGCCCTGCGCTGGACTCTCTCCAGCAGCTCCACATCCCTCTTGTACTGGGGAGCCCAGAACTGGACGCAGTACTCCAGATGTGGTCTCACCAGGGCTGAGTAGAGGGGGATGATCACCTCCCTCGACCTGCTGGAGACGCTCTTCTTAACACACTCCAGGATCCCGTTGGCCGCCTTGGCCACGACGGCACACTGCTGTCTCATGGTCATCTTGTCATCCACCATGACGCCGAGGTCCCTCTCTGCGGGGCTGCTCTCCAGCAGGTCCACTCCTAATCTGTACTGCTGTCCRGGGTTATTCCTCCCCAAGTGCAGGACCCTGCACTTGCCCTTGTTGAACCTCATGAGGTTTCTCACCGCCCAGTCSTCCAGTSTGTCCAGGTCCCTCTGGATGGCAGCACAGCCCTCAGGGCKATCAGCTACTCCWCCCAGTTTGGTATCGTCGGCAAACTTGCTGAGGGAGCACTCCAGCCCTTCATCCAGGTCGTTAATGAATAAGTTGAACAGGACCGGACCGAGGACCGACCCCTGGGGGACACCACTAAGTACAGGCCTCCAGCTGGACTCCGCACCATTGACAACCACTCTCTGCACCCTGCCATCAAGCCAATTCCTAATCCACCTCCCCGTCCACTCATCTATCCCACACCCTTCGAGCTTGCCCAGGAGGATGCTGTGAGGGACAGTGTCAAAAGCCTTGCTGAAGTCCAGATAGATGACATCCACTGCTCTGCCCTCATCTATCCAGGTAGTCACTCCTTTATAGAAGGCGATCAGGTTAGTCGAGCATGATTTCCCCTTCGTGAATCCATGTTGGCTACTCCTGAGCACCTTCTCCTCCACGTGTCTGGAGACAGCAGCCAGGATGAGCTGTTCCATCACTTTTCCAGGGATGGAGGTGAGGCTCACTGGCCTGTAGTTGCCCGGGTCCTCCTTCTTGCCCTTTTTGAAGACCGGGGTGACGTTGGCTTTCTTCCAGTCCTCCGGCACCTCCCCCGTTCTCCAAGACCTTCCGAAGATGATGGCGAGCGGCTCGGCTATGACATCTGCCAGTTCCCGCAACACCCTGGGGTGCATCCCATCAGGGCCCATGGATTTGTGGGTGTCGAGTTTCCTTAGGTGCTCTCTGACCCACTCTTCCTCTACCCAGGACAAGTCTTCCTCTCTCCAGCTCACTTCTTGTGTCCCTAGGGCCTGGAATTCTAGAGGGCTGCCCCTGACAAACACTGAAGCAAAGGTGGCATTCAGCAGCTCTGCTTTCTCCTCGTCTTCCGTAACCAAGGTACCCACCCCGTTCATTAATGGACCCACATTCTCCCTGACCTTCCTTTTGTTGTTAATATATTTGAAAAAGTTTTTGTTGTTACTCTTAACATCCCTTGCCAGATTTAGTTCCAGATGTGCCTTAGCTTTCCTTGTAGCATCCCAGCATTCCCTGACAACGCTCCTGTATTCCTCCCAAGGGGCCTGTCCTTTCTTCCACATTCTGTATACTGCCTTCTTCTGCTGGAGTTTTGCCAGGAGCTCTCTGCTCATCCACGCTGGCCTCCTGCCCCCTCTGCCTGACTTCTTGCACACAGGGATGCACTGTTTCTGGGCATGGTGGAAATGCTGCTTGAAAACTAACCAGCTCTCCTGGGCCCCTCTTCCTTCTAGAGCCCTAGCCCATGGGATCTTTCCCAGCAGGTCTCTGAGGAGGCTAAAGTTGGCCCTCCTGAAGTCCAGGGTGGCAAGGCTACTAACTGCCCTGCCTCCTCCTCTTTGGATCCTGAAGTCCACCAGCTCATGATCACTGCAGCCAAGGCTGCCCCCCACCTTCACATCTTCAACCAGGCCCTCTCTGTTTGTTAGTATGAGGTCCAGCAGCCCACCTCTCCTCGTCGGCTCCTCCACAACCTGCATCAAAAAGTAGTTGTTGACACACTGTAGAAACCTCCAGGACCGTTTGTGCCTCGCTGTGCTGTCTTTCCAGCTGATGTCGAGGTAGTTAAAGTCCCCCATGAGAACCAGGGCCTGTGACCGTGAGGCAACTTCCAGCTGCCTGTAGAAGGCCCCGTCAACCTCCTCCTCCTGGTCAGGTGACCTGTAGCAGACACCCACCACAGTGTCTCCCACATTGGCCTGCCAAGAAAATATTAGCAGTATAAAATACCAAGAAAATATTAGCAGTAGTAAGGAATTATTTAGAAGAATCTAAACTAATATATAAGACTATTTCCAAAATATGTTATTCACACACTCTCTGTTTATTCCACAGAGCCTGTTCCAGCATTTCCCAAGCTTGCTTTGCAGGTTGCAAACCCCCATCACCCTGGAAAGTGGTATGTCACTACTGGGAAAGGTGCTCAGCACACCTCACTTAAAATGTTTGCCATAGCATACGTGCTATTTTCTGGGATGCAGTGTTGCCATTTGAGAACCTAAGGAATTAGGTGGCGTTGAGATATGGCTGAGAGGCGCAACCCCTTGGCTGTTTTATTTTAGCAAGGAGGAGGTTTATTTTATTTTTCTATTCATTTTTGTTCCCTGACAAAGCCAGATGACTGGGCACTGCGCCATAATGCCAGAGAGAGATAGACTTCAAACCAGCTATTAGCCCAGCCTGACCTTCACATATCAACATCATTTAGGAACTGCAAAAATTAATTTAATGGAAATGAGCTCCAGAAAGAAAACTGCATATGCGCCCCTTTTCATTAGAAGAATTTTCATTAGAATTTTCATTAGAACTTGGCTTCTAAGCCAAGTTACCCTTAGACAACGTGACTGTAGACTGTACCTTTACAGCAGACTGTACCTTTACATTTTTGTTTTTTCAGAACAAAAAATGCCGCTACTGCTACAGCACAGACCACAAGAACCGTGAACGTGGCAGTGATGCCAGAGGTGCCTTGTCTGCTGATGGAAGGCGAGGCAGAATCTGTAGGGTAGAAGAAAATAAAGAATACGTGAATGAAGCAAATGCTCTAAGACAGGAGCCTACCTCATAAACATGAGCTAGGAAGAACTGAGCCTGATACTTCTGCAAATGTACCTTACAAATGCTCATAATAAGGAATGGATAAATGAGAACACAGAATAGTCTTCACTCTTAATGGAGATACCTGTAATGTGTCTTCATTACAGTGTAAAATAATGACTATTTGCAATCAGGGCTGATTCTTCACCCCACAGACTCCTTTGAATCAATCTCTTACCCAAACTGAGCACAAACAAGAGATGCAAAACCTTGTTTCCTGAAAATGGAAGAAGGTCAAGAAACTCTCCAGAAGACTTTTAGTGATCTTGTGGGAAGCCAGTGTTTTAATAAAACAAAAGATGCAATTAGAGGAAAAGAAAGGCTGGTAAACCACTCTTCAGGGTGGCATTGTTCTGGATAGTGCACATGGCAGGAAGGGGAATCTGATAAAGTCAGAACATTCAGCTAGGTAATATATCCTTCCTATGTTCAAAGGCCACTAAAGAAATCAGGTTTCATCAGTTTTTCTAAGCCTTATATAAAAAGAATTTAAACATAGAAATAGCTAGAAAGAAATATTGTAATACTAGTCTAATTTGGAAGACAAGTAGTCAAATTAACCAAAATGCATGCAAAAATTATCAAAAAAACAACAGCAATAAACTGAAGTGCTATACATCCTTACTAAGGTTTCTCCACAGAAAAGGCCAGACAGTGCACTTGTTTTAAGCCACGACCATAACTTTTTGACTATAACTGAAGAAAAATTGTAGGCATTTCTACCAACAAACAAATGTGGGTATTAAATAAATGCATGTGACAAATGTCCTCTTAGTCTGGAGGAAAGGCCTTATTTATCATTTACTTGTAAATGGAGTTGTTTGAATGCCCACCTTGTTGCACACCCACCAAGTGCCTTCATTGCCCCTTCCTCAGTGTCCTCTATAGGATGTTGGGGGGAATATACACTGCAACTTATATCTGTGTCCAGGCCAGAACTCAGCATGTACTCTCTGAGCTTGGATATACATAGACTGGATATACATAGAGCATATGTGAATATACTGCACAACCCCCAAATCTACAAGTCATTTTTACAGCAAGCTGCCTAGGCTAAATCTGCTCCCATCTAGTGCCAAACAAACACGTGCAGGGATGGAGGGACTTACAGATGCTATTTTCATCTGCAAATATGGGGAGTGATGAGCAATTCAAGGGACTGCTGGACACTGCGAGCTCAATCTCTGTGGTACAACAAGTCTTCCACTCCATAACGACAGCATCTGGCCTGTTCTCTGGAGAAGCTGAAAGATAAAACAAGTGTTAACTATAAATAACCACCAGTCGATAAGATATTTAACCTAGCATTAGAGCATAAAAAGGATTCTCTCTTCACAAAAAAAAGTTGAAATTGTTACAACTGTCTTTTGTTCAACAAACGTTCAAATCAGCAGTCCAGTTCATCAACTAGAGTAAAAAGAAAAGCTGAAGAAAGCAATAAGTGGGTTTTTTTTTGTTGGTGGTGGTTGTTTTTTTTACACTTAATTAAGAATGCCAGAAGACTTGTAAGATGCATTCCATTAAAACTGTGTGATTAAGATTCTATTGAAATATGAACCATGTTTTTGTTCCATTTACCCATGAGAATCAATCATTGCAAACAAACAAGAGAAGTAGCTCCCACAGAGTCACAGATGCCACAGATGTACTCTATAAGCTACCAAAGTCTCACAGGGTACATCTTGCTCCTACCCTCCATGCCTCTGTGAAATTGTATTGGTTTTTCTTGGCTTAAGTTGAAGACAATAGGTCTTAGTCCTTTCACTTGAAGAAAGGACAGAGCTGAGTTTACTTCAAAATAAAGCTTATATTGAAGTACATCAGCTTATGGATTGCTCTCATGTCCATATTTTACAGTGGAAGGCACAGATGCCAGGAGGAAGAGGTTTAGAGCAATCAGAAACGAAACACACATGAGGTTGTTAGGCTGAACACATTATATTAGGGTAATTTGTGCATTTATTTGGAACTCTACCAGAGTACTTTTAAGTACAGTTTGTCCTGAAAGTGTTTTATTTTTTATAAATTACTTTGTCTTCACTTCTTGAAATACTCATCTGAAGTTAGTTGCCTCATTAACCTCACTGTCTGCCCAAATATATAACAGTCTTGATTCATAATTGGAAATTTTCAGTTTGTTCAGAGCTAGGCTCCCAGCTGGCCATACCTTCAGCTTTCAGCATGCCACATGACTCTCCTATTCCCTCGTCTTTGGCCCAGATAATGGCATAAATTCCTTCTGGAAAAGCATCTGCTTGCTGAAAGCACATAGTGATACGTGCTTCACTGGTCACCAGTTGAATGACTTCATTTGAAAATGTCTTGTCTTGTGTTTCACCGATTATAGTACAGCAACTGAAATTGGATAACTCGCATACAGTGAGACCACAGCGCCTGCAGTTGTAGACTGTCACTTTGGTGCTGCCAACAGAAGAACGGGGAGTCTTCTTAGCCGGGTCACCAGTCAGCAAGGCAGTAGCTGTAAGAGAAATAAAGAAAAAAATATTATTTTTTAGCATTTTGCTCACCACATTTTAGAGAATGGGACTAGTTTGTGGGGGACAAACCCAGTCCCTGCTTAAGTAGGGACAAAAATTGTCTGTATTATGTCCGTATCGAGCTAATAATCGAGGGCAACAAAAATGCAAGAGGAAATCAGGAAAACCAGAGCTTGCAAATAAGTTTATATAATGGACTTCTGTAAGACTATGCAAACCTCAGTCCGACCCTCAGCCCATCTCCCCCTTCCTTCACTGTTCTGCTTCTATTATTGTGGCCCAGCCCTATCAAATACACAGAATTAAAATCTACCTCTAATTTATGCTCTATCCTGTAAACATGAAACAGCCCTGTGCTTGAAAAAGACCATCTGTAAGGTAGTCCCTAACAGCGTGCACAGCTCTATCCTTTGTGCCGTTTTTCCTGGAAGGAAAGAGAAAAGTGGTGCCTCCACCCCCGACTACAGACAGCAGATGTTAACAACTTCTCAGCCAGGCTTCCTTACTCCTGTACAATCTACACTCACGAATTGCTTCCTGTCTCCAGCCAGCTGCACTTCAAAGGCCATTTCCTGCTAGAATTTGTACTTCTACCGAAGAACCTTGGCAAAGCCACATTTCTAGATGGGGGTATTTTGGTTTATCCTTTGCTTACCTCGTTTCTTTTTGGTGAAAACAGAGAGGGCAGCACTATTTTTTTGTTGTTGTTGACAGCAGGGGAGATACTACTACAGTAGTACTACATACTACAGTAGTAGTAAGTTACAACTGGATTTTCACTCTCACTTCTGACAGAACTCTGGACACTGCTGAGGTTTGCTGGGGGTTTGGACTAGGAAGCTGGCAGCTTGGGAAGGGAGCCCTGGTTGAGTTAGAAGGGCTGAATGCCCAACTAGGCCCAAAGATATCATCCCTTCTCATCTACTGTCGCTCCAGAAATCCTTGACACACTCCGATAGCCCTGGAGATCTGTGCATCTCCAGCAGATATCCAGATCTCAGGACACACAAGGCTCCCATAGACAACAATTTTCCAGGTACAAGCAGCCTGGCAGAAGTACCCATGGGCATGCAGGACTCAGGGGTCCACTCACGTGAGCAAACCATGAGACTCACTTAGAAAGGGAGATGAAATGGTCCCAAGCAGGAGACATAAACCGATGCAGGGAAGAGAATCCATCAGGCTGTCCTGGCTGCTTGGCTCTGCTGGGGTCCTCTACAACTCCTGGGCAGGCTCACGAGGCTCTCCTTACAGCCACACCTCTGCTGAAACATTAAATATAATGTTTAGCATTCCTTTTCCTTTTTGTTTTGCCTTTCCCCAGTCAAGAAGGAAGCAATTCCCAGCCCCAGTGCTGCAAAGCTTCTTTGATCCAAGAAACCTGGAATAAAGGCAAAGGAAATCTCACAGTGCTCAGCTGCTACTGCCACCATGAGTTGGGGCTGGGGTTCAGAAGACTGAACCTGATTTTTTGGGGCCAATGGATGTAACAAATACCAAACCCACCCCCTTTTCCAGCTGTGGGGGCACCTCTGCAGTAGAAACCACGTATTCTTGGGAAATCCCTCCCTGCCCTGATGGGCAGGAGGTTGGAGATCCAATACTTCCAGGTACTTCAAGGCAGTGGCTCTACACACATCAACTTGCAGCACTCAATAACTTCCCGACATGCTGACACCTCCTAAACACACACACAAAAGCTAAACAGGAAAGCTATCCAAATGTTTTATTTGACCTAACATGAAATACTATATTTCAAAATAGAACATACTTTTAATCAAAAGGAACTGATAATGAAATAAGTTCAAATTAAAACCAAAACCAGCCAAATAAAAAAAATGAGTGATTTTTTGGAATTTGGTCAGATAAAGAGGTCCTGGCTCACAGCAATCAAATTGTCATGAATTTATGAAATATGTTTTAGTAAGACACAAGTTTGGTTTTTTTTTTTCCTAAAAGGGAAAAGAAAAACCTTGAAAACTCACTCAGTTTTCCTCACTAGCCTACTGCTAGGAGAAAGTAGGCACCTCACTGCAGCACCAGCGTGTAGCAGTGCTGCAGAAATCTGCTTTTCTGATTCACAGAGCATCACAGCAGTGCAGTCCCTCTATTTCCACTTTGCACCACATGAGGGACCAATTCTTACATTTTACACGTTTTTCTTCTCACTCACATTCACCTGCATCTCCTTGCAATTTTTACACTCTCCCTCCAGCATGAAGCCCCAGATCAGAACCTTCAGCCAGAACCTTCAAAAGATCAGATTTGCTTTTTCTTTTCTCCTGGCCAAACCAGCTTATTTGGGATTGTTTCACACAACCCTTCCTCTTCTCAAGTACACAGACTGGTTCCACCTGCTCCCTTCTTACTCTATGGGCCGGCCAACAAGTATCACTCACCTTGTCCTTCTCGGTCCATGTTTGCTGTCTGGATGCAGCCTTCACAAGCCAGTCTCAGCGCATCCAGCAGCATTCACAGGCAGGTTAAGGACAATGAGTAGCCTTTTCCTAGCAGCTTTCAGCCTCAAAATCCCATCTTCTGTCCTTGTTCGTTTTGCTTTCTCTTCCTTTCTATAAGTCTCAGTGCATTATCCTCCCTCTGCTTCAACTCTGCTAACAGGGCATGCCCCTTCCTCTTATCTGTGTCGTTAATTATTCCTCCTCTTATCTTATATTCTTTTTCATTAGCTGCAACCCAGCTTGCCAAATGCCTACCTTGCTCTGCCTTGTCCCTGTGCTGTCATATTTCTTTTTCACTGGCCTCTCATATAAACCTCTATTTTTGGCAGATTTCTTCAAGTCGCACCCAGGCCACTTTCTCCCCTTAGTTTTAAGGGGATTTTTAAAAATAAAACACTCAAACCCAGGATCAAAACACCCGCTTTGGGCAGGAAAACATTCCCATAAAGATTTTTGCCTGTTTATCTTTCATTTCGAGGCAACACAAACCACGCAAGTAGTTTGCAGAGCTCCTGAAGCAAGTTATCTACAGAGCTTTAGCAAAACCATGCCAGCTGCCAGCAAAAGACTTCTTCCAGCGTGCACTATCTGGCCTCCTGATTCCTGAGCACAGGAGGGGTGGCTGTTTCTCCTAAGCAAATATCCCAAGGCTTTGCAGCTTTATAAGCATTTTAGCCTATGGTTTACATGATGATGAGGACCAACTCTATTTGTGGAATAATGCAGTCAACTTTCAGAAACGCCTCGTATGATACCCATTGACATACCTTAAGTCTCAAGCAGCTTGAAGGAAATGGCACTATTGAATGAAGTAAGGGGGTAGCAAAATAAAATAAGAGCTTCATAAATCCTACATAGTTTCACTGTTAGTTGTTTCCTCGAAAATGAGGAAACCTGGGCAGGCTCACCAGGCTCTCCTTACAGCCACACAGATACAAATTACCTCCAGTATTACTTTCAGAACCAGTTTCACCATGTTGATCAGCCAGATATGCAAGGATGCAAGTATGTAAGGATATAAGGATGCAAGGGAACTTTGTTTCCCTGTTTTCAAAAGCCAGTGGAAAGAGGAACCAACAAGACAGTGTCTTTGAGCTGCAAAACACCTACATAACTCTACTGGGCACATCACAGTGCCTCCTTAGGTGGCTCCTCCAAGTCACTTTCCCCCAGAGCATTCAAGAACACTACTGAAATCATGGTTTCCAGTTTGCAGCATATTAAACCAAGTAGAATTAACTCCTTCACTAATTTTCTTTATTTTAAAATCAGTATCTTTGCTGACTGAGGCTTTACGTGTCTCTTTTGCTTTTTGTTTTGCTTTTGTTTTCATTTGTTTCCCTTTTAACACATGGAAGTCCCCCAAATCTCATTTGGGAACCTAGCCATAGCCTCAAGGAACACAACATACAATCAGTTCCAAGTCTGGTGATAGCTTCTCATCCAAAAGCAAGACACTTAGAAATATTTTTACCGTCATCTTCCTAACACAGTTCATTTCCTTTCTCCCAATGACACTTTTTCTGCACGTTCCAAAATATTTGCTTTAAAAGAGGAAAGAGCAATACTTGGTTAGAGAAAAGGGCAGCTACAGGGTAAAAACTCACAAAGAATCATACAGTACAGGTACCTCAACAGTGACGTATTCCCAATGAAGTGTTAAGTGCGCCCTGGAGGTGCGCCCAGCAGCAGAAGACTCCACATCCCGTAGAAGACTTTCCTGTTGCTGAAGTATTTGCAGCCCTCTCAGAGCTCAGCACGCCAGACGCAGAAGCTGTCGAGGTTCCCGAGCAGAAAAGGAACACTGCCAGTTTTCCCTTCTTTAAAAGGCAACTGGATTTTCACTTTCACTTCTGGCAGGGCGGTGCCTGTGGAGTGAAGCCAGGTGACACCACTGCCAGGTTACAGCTGAGGATCACGAGGAAAGGAACCCGCACACACCTGCAGCACCTCAAGGGCTGGTTTATGGAGTCCCCCACCTCCATGGGTAACAGGAGTTACACCTAATACTCTAGGTGTTGAGGGATATAAAGTGGAGTGGATGTTAGACCCGCTGTTAGGTCTGCTACCAGCCAACTGCAAGGGTGGTCCTGGAGAAGACAACTGAACTGGGGGCAGTTTGGCTAAACGCCTGGCAGGGATCACTGTTGACCTACCAAGAGAGGCTTGCTTCAAGCTACACTTTGGTTCTTTGACTGTTCTAGTGTCCCTTACACATCACAGCATGAGCAGTCCTACCTGTTGGGAGGGAGGGGAGATAATCTCTGCCCACTCCTCAGTGGGGTTCCCTACCTGCCCTGCCATGAATCCACACTGTTTCTCGGTCTGGTATTTCACTTGAGATCACCTGCAATCTTGAAAGGAGATCAAAAAGGAACAACCAGAACAAAGGAAGGAAAAGCAAAACAAACCAAAACCACTCCTTCCTCCTTCTAAGCAGATATATCTCATACCAAAGAAGAGAAACCACTCCACCTTCCAGTTTCTAAGCAGATATGTCTCATACCAAAGAGGAGCAAGTTTTCAGCCGTGTTCATTTTTTCACTCTGCTGCTTGTCTCAGACACCCTTTTATGTCTGGCACGGGCTGCTTTGCTCACCTGGAATGTCAGAAAAATAGCACTTGAAGTCATATACCAGAAAATATAATACATAAATGAAAGACGCAATTGTCTAAAACACAATCTGTTCAGTATCATAAAAGTGATTGTTGTGATTATAAATCACCAGTCAGCCACTGTGAATACCAGGTGAAGTTTTCTTTGGGGGCAAATTTGCATTACAAAATTTAGTATATACACTAAATACGTGGAACAACTATATGTGTTACATGTTCCACGTGTTACATGGAACAACTATAAAATATGCTACTATAAAAAACAGCTGACAAATATGTCTCAGCAGTGGTGACTTACTGCTATGCAAACAAAACTGGCTATTAATATTATTGCTGGCAGAAATAGTTTTTGTAGGTTCTTCTAAGAAGTATATTTTGAGCTTCAGATAGATTCAGACAGCTGTTTTATTTACATTTTGAGACTTTTAAGTTTTTAAAGGCCAAAATTAATCCCTGATATTAGCTCATGCTTTTGAAAGCTAGTCACACAGGGGATGCAATACTGGTATTCAAAATAATATGTGATTAAAAGTCATGGGTGTTTTTATTTATTTATAATACAAGAACATCTGATATAGTCAAGAAACATATTCAGAAACTGGTAAGATAAAATAATTAGACTGAATAGCTTCTTCTAGTGGATATAAATTCCTGTATACCTGAGGAAAAAAACAAAACAAAACAAAATGATAGAACCTAGGGGATGGAAAGAAATTTCACCAAAAGGCAGTTTATTCTATTAGTAGTGGGTTTTGCATCATCGTTTAACATAGATGTCTGTGACTTCTATACAAAGAAATGGTGTAAGAATAGAAAACAAATTATTTGATCAGGAAAACAAACTGTGTCTTCACTCTCCCTCAATTGTAATAATTTGCTGGTGAGGTACAGTGCCCCATTTGAATTGTTGTCTTCTGCAAAGAAACTGTGAGGAAACAGCAGAAAGGCAGATGGGATTGATTAGAAAGGAATATTACAAAATGAAAATAAAGGACTACAGCACTATAGCTGAATTCTTCAGAAAGAAGCATGGCCCAGCACCCTCAGCGTCAGGATGGAGAACACAAGAACACACATCCAGAACAGATGTTGGAGCAGGAACTCACCATTCATCTTCCTGGTGGACACCAGCCTCATGGGCAAGGCAGCAGAACCACGGGGGAAAAATATGTCACGTTAGTGATACCAGCGACTTTGGCACAGCGGTGGAAAGCAGGGTGACAGCACCAAAGCGCATGGTGTACAAGACTGGAGTGACAGCTAAATATTCATAATTTAGATTTTATTACATCTCATGTGCTCCTCTTCGGGGCACAAAGGAGAATTCTTCTCCTAATGAGCCTCTGGTGTTGTCAGAACAGTTGGACTCAATGAGCTTGAAGGTCTTTTCCAAACATAATTATTCTATGATTATATAAATTACCACAGCCCCTTGCTTGTCAAGGCAAGCAGCGTTCCAGGGAAAAACAAAACAAATAAACAACAACAACAAAAAAGAATGTTTCCTGCCACACACCATTCATTTTGATGACTTTCCAGTGTTTAATTTTTGTCACAGCTCCAGCACTTTAACATTGATCTAGAATATTTTCAAGATAATATTTTTATTTAATAAAATAAAATATTTCTAGAATATCTTCAAGATAACAGCAGTAGCAACGTTTTATGGGTCTGGCTGTTAACACGGCCTTTGGATGTGGGATAGGATGGGACGGGATGGGGAGAGCTCTCCCCTCGTGCTCGGCACTGTCATCGGGGTCTTTTACAGCCTTATTTGCTGTCTGTGACAAGGAAGGTGCCCTGCTTTGGTAAACATCACAATAAAAGCACTGAATTACATCATGTTTGATATTCCCTTTGGTAGGTTTCCAATGTGGCACAGATAACAGTATCATTGTCAGAATGTTATCATCTACTCCTGCCCAGGGATCCCAACAGCAATTATGATTTATAGCAGGAACATTTCAAAGTCCTTCTGCTTTAAGTAATACCAGACACTACAAAAGCTACATAAAAGTTGGCAAGGGGTACAGTTTTGCACATGATGTAGTTACTCAATGAGGGCAATGAGAAGCCCAGGCCTATTTCCTGGAAACCTCAGAGCAGATATCTGAGATGTTTGCCATCAGAAGTCAAAGCTCCTGCTTCAAGGATATTGAAAAGAACCACTAGAAACCAATCCAATAGTAAAAGTTATTCAGAGTTGCAGGGCACAGCAATTTTAGATTTAGATTTAGATGCTGCAGCCCAAACCAAGTTGAATCCCAGCTAACATTAGGAGGGATCTAGACACAAATATACCCCTACCTTGAACTGCCTTTAGAACTGCTGACACTGTGAAGGCACAGAAAAAGCAGTCAAGGGAGCATTTTTTATTCTCCATTCATATACATTTTGGACTATACCTGAAACCACTTCCAACCTTTAGCAGAGAATGGAAGAGGGAGGAGGCTAAGCCTCCTCTGGGGTGCCCTAGGAAGGAATACTACTTGACAAGCAGGTACCATCCTGCATGATCTGCCTGCAGTCTGTTGGAGAAATGGCCTTTGATTAAGATAGCAGCTACTGATTGAGGGTCATTAATGATTAGGGTCACAAGGAAAGACTTGTGTGCTATGAAACGGGATGAAGGTGCGGGAGGAGGCAGCTCTCAACTGACGGTATCCTACTTCAAAAAAAAAAAATCTAACCTTTATTACTGTTTGCATAACAGTGACGTATTAGCAGTGCAGCTGCTATTGCAGCCAGGGAGTGGGGGAAGGAAGCCCGAGGACAACTTTTTTTTTTCTCTTTCATTCCCAGTTTTTGTAAGGAAGGGAGAGCAACTACACTGTCAACATGTGTTTCAGCCATCAGTGAGCACAGTGCAAGGCTATGGCAGGAAAGAGGTTTGTGGAGAGGCTGACTCCGCTCCTTTCCCTCTTTTCTATGAGCCTGTATAGCTCCACAGAGCCATAAGCTCTTCTGCTTGGCTTGCGTTCTTTTAGCACATGAGATAACCTTTCCTTTTGCATCATAACCACCATAAAATATTCCTGGTCTCTATCTGATATTTTCACCCCTGCCTGGATCTTTAAGCTCTCCTTGTGCTTGCAACAGCACTCTATGCAGCATGAAAGGTTCACAGCAGCTGCTCACAAATTGCAGCGTAGCTCCCCATTCACAAAAGCTTTGACTACCTCCAGCAGGACAGATATCTGCTCAAAGTCCACAGCTCAGCTGTTAGCTTAAGCCCGAAAGACAGAAGATATTTGTTAGCGTATAACTCAGGACATTCATATGCACATTGTCCCCTAGTTTGCTACCTGACCTGCAGCTTTGGGGTTTTGCTTTTGTTGACAAGCTCCTAGAGAGGAGGTGCTGCTCCTGGAAGGCTCTATGCCTTTACCATTTCCTGAACCTGTATGCTGACCTCCAGTAAGTAAAGAGGTGGACAGTGAGCTTAGGACCACAAAATTTCAAATTTTGTTAGCAGACTCCATGCTTAGATCAGCAATCTTGGGTTTAATCATAGTGCTGCAAAACTGCTACTGCACTGCTTTCCCTCAAGTGTACCCATAGCTAATTCCATCTGCTCTTGCATACAGCTTAGGAACATTTCTTAGAAAAATATTCCAATGCCGAATGATGTGTCTGGAGTTACACACTCAAGTTGCCAGCTCAAGGCACTCAATTAGGAATATTTCCTTTAAAAGCTCAAATTCCTCCGCTTCCTTTGTCAGGCATCCTGGCCCTGGCTGGAACTGAACTTTATAACCACATACATAAAGTTATACACAACTTATCTCCCTCTCTTTTCAGTACATTCTCACGTCTACTTCACTTCTTTGAAATACTCTTTTTGGCTCTGCTTTTTAATTAATACCAAAAGATAATTTCACTGAGACCCCCAAAATAAGTGGAACATGGTCTGTAATGCTAGATAGTCTAGGAGGTTCCCTGGCCTTTTCAAGGAAACCTGTAGCCTCTCTCAATTATTTCGTCTTATCAGCATGTCAGAAAACACACCCACATTGTGAGACCACGATAAACCCTTTTTGAACTCAATAGCAGTATTTCCTTCCCCCAACATATATTTTCTCGTATTTCTTTCCTGGGTCATCCTCATCCAAGTGAAGAAGCCTTCTGACCTACTGCTAAGAGGCAGCAAGCACTCTCACTATACTTCTACTACTTGAAAATTTATATAAAATAATTATCTCTCAGTTCCTGCATTCTTTTTCAAATGATAGACCCATTAAATTCTTTCTTCTCTTCCTTTTTTTTCCCACCTTCTCTGAAAAGGAAGGTTGTACTTAGGACAGTTGGGGCTCAAGATACTGTTTCTTGTATAGGTCTTGTAGAGCTGCCATGGGTAAGCCAACCGGAGTGAGCACAGTTGTTTATTTGAAGTGAAAACTTCATATTTCTGTCCAGGAAGACCCCGGGCAGGAGGGCAGCCGTGCAAGGCAGGTTGCAGGGTAGCTCATGGCCACCTATGCCCCTTGGACAAAGCAATTTTGGGAATACCCAAAATGAAGCAGATTCCCAGCTGACACAGGTATTGTCGGGTCCACATGTGTTGCAATCCAGCAGCTGTGGGCAGCTGCACAGCGTGTTCTTCCATCCAGGGAGAGAAATATTGTGCCTGTTTAATAAGAAACCTGCAGGTGAAAGTGCTGGAAACAGCTGGTAAACGGCAGTTTCCCACTCGGTCATCTCATTTTAGTACAACAGGCTGCATCACAGTGTCAGCTTGGCCAAGTGATTGTGCATGCTTCATGTATGAATGCTCTGTACATTGATATTGAAGCAAGATTCCTACAGAGGTATTAGGAAATAGATTATAGGGTTTTTTCACTACTAAGAAGGAAAATAGGTTGTTTATTTCAGAGCAAACAATGACTAAAGGACATGTGCTGGCAAGAGCAGCTGGTTTACCACAGCTGTCAGGAAAATGTCATAGTCAGAGGGGTGGAAACATTGCCCTGGAGACAACATTCCCCGCCTCACAGCTCAACGCCTGCACATCCACTAGTGAGAATACATCTGCAAGAGAGGAGAATTGCCTTTGGGTCCAGCTTGTCTGCCTTCTGTAACAGGAGACATTTAAACATCAGAGGAATTTGCTTGTGCCTAATACAACGATTAAAACGATGTCTGAAGTTAGAATGGAAAGTGTTCAATATAGCAATAGGTGTTTCA